TTGGTTTTTTGCTGGTTTTCTTCTCCCTTTCCTAACCTTTTTTTTTGAAAAATTTCCTGCTGTATTTTTTTTCAACACTTTATCACCTTTTCTTATTAACAAAACCGGCACATTCTACATCTGTTTTTTTAAGATAGATCACGTCATTGACCGCTGGGCACACGTTTGATCATTCGTCTTATTAAAAAAATATATAACTATCATTTATGTTGTTTTGAGTTGTTTTATCGCTAAAAGTATTTTAAGCACGATTTATATCTTATGCATTTGCATAAAATTTTTGCATAAGAAAAATGATCAAACATGTGCCTAAAAGTCAACGACGTCATCTATTATATAATATAAGCCATTTTTTTCATAAACCGTCACTTATAAACTGCTATAGGTGCCCTTTTTTTAGCCACAGGGTGTTCGAGTGAGAAAAAAATTACACAAATCCAAAACCCAGCCAAACGTCGATATAAATGCACCGCCAACGTCTCCTACGCCTCGATATGTTTCACAAAACCAGAAGAAGCTCAATTAGAGCATGCTCTGTCCAAATCATATATTGATGCCTAAATGCCTAGGTCAACAAAATCATCCTATCTAAAAATTGAATCAAACAGAAAAGATGTGAATTATTGATGTCCCAGTCCCAAAAAAGAAAAACTAACTTCTCAAATCCACGACATGTTGAGGTCAAATATGCTACCGTTGCTTGCCCGAGGCCGAGGACGCCACCGCTCCCGCTACCTGGCAAGGCCAAGGCCGCTGCACATCGAGGTCGTCGCCACCAGTGCCAACGCCGTTGCCTCTCCCGCCACCCGACGAGGCCGAGGTCGTTGCTTGCCGTGGTGAAGCCGTCGCCTCTCCTGCTGCTCGACGAGGCCACTGTTTGTCGCTCATGCAGAGGCCGCGCCTCTCCTGCTTCTCAACGAGGCTGATGTTTCTGCTCGCCAGTCGGGGCTACCACCGCAATTGTTGCCGCTCGCACTGTGTTGCTCGCGTGTGGATGTAGGAGAGATCGGTTGTGGGAGAGAGAGGAGAAAGAGATAAGGAGAGAAGTGGTGTGTGGCTGCGGAAGAGAGAAGAATAGATAAGGGAGAAGAGAAAAAGATAAAGTTGGATCTGTCCGCCCCTGCTTGCCGCATCCATCTCCCGCCGTAAGGGAAGAGGGGGAGATAGAGCGGTGCGCCGATGGGGGGATGGGAGGGGGAGAGGCGCCGGGCGGTGGGGGTGGGAGAGGAGGGGCAGTGGAGGGGGAGAGGCGTCGCCGCCACCGTTGAGAGAGAGGGGGCGGGGAGGGGAAATGATTTTAGAGTTAGGGTTTAGGCTGTTGAACTTTTATATAGGTCGGAATCAATTAGGACCGTACATCAGATCGTACGGCTACGGCTTCTCCCGCGTCGGGCCGAACGCCATTCCCATGCCGCCCACACAAAATAAGTTCACTTTAGGTCCCTTAAGTTGTCCCCGATTCTGTTCCCATGCTGTCCACACTATTGGGCTATATCATGTAAAACTAAACCTTAATCATATAGTATTTTTATATTTATTATATTTTTTTGCAACGCACGGACATTTTTTTCTATGTCAAAAAAATTATTTTAATTTACAGAATTAGTTTGCTCTATTTAAGCTTTTTAAAAATTGCTAAAATTTGAGAATAACTTTTCCTACTTCATTTTGAATTATTTTTAGCTAACGGAATTAAAGGAAAATTAATTATATATTTTTATCTCTTGACCAAAGGTCACTGCAATTTCATTATTATTATTATTATTATTATTATTATTATTATTATTATTATTATTATTACTATTACTATTATTATTATTACTATTATTATTACTATTATTATTATGATTCCTTTATCATTTTTTCCAACAGTATGCATGATTAAAATTACATTCACCCTTTGCAACGCATGGGCATCATGGCTAGTACCTAATAAAAAAATACGTAGGGATTCCGGCTGTGTTTTTTCGTCTGTCATCCCACACGCATCGCCAAAATCAGTTTTAATCCAATTTATAGTTGGGTCGGGCCTTTTTCAATCTACACCGAAACCGAGCTTAATATACTATATGTATATTTCATGTCCTATCGTAGTACGAGTACCGATTTGACTACTTGGTTATGAAGGAAAGCTTTCATCCAGGCGGCTACGGTTCGATTGCCACCTTCCACTAATTTTTCACCTATCATTACTTGCACTGTAGCTATGGGCCTCTCCGGAATAAGTCTACTGTCCCTCCTCCTGAAATCATATCATATTTGGGCTCAAATTTTTGCACTGTAGCTATGGGCCTCTCCAGAATAAGTCTAGTGTCCCTCCCTTATGTCCATCATTTCAATTTTGCTATATATTTGTCGATAAATTTTTTTCCAAAAATTTGACATATGTAATTACAGAACAATCGTAGTTTAATTACACTGTAACTTACATGTAATTATACTGTAACTTTAATGTAACTTGTTTGTAACTATCAAAAATCTCTCCGTAACATGTTATTTCGGTAAAATGGAGGTCATGGGAACAAATCATTTCACAGATGTGTGTGATGTAATTTTTTTCTTCCTCACTAGAACAAATATTGCAATAGATCTTATGATTCAAAATTACGTGAAACTTATATACAAGTTACACTCTAGTTACATGCAAGTTACAGTGTAATTACATGCAAGTTACAGTGTAATTAAACTACGATTGTTCTGTAATTACATCTGTCAAATTTTTAGGAGAAAATTTATCGACAAATGTATAGGTGGTCCCAATCATATTTGGGCGCAAATTTTTTTCTGCACTGTGGCTATGAGCTTCTCCTGCAATAAGTCCACTGTCCCTCCCTCATGTCAAATCATATTTGACTAAGTCTACTGTCCCTCCCTGTCAAATTATATTTGGGCACAAATTTTTTTCTCTCCACCGCTAGCACGGACCATGCACATCCGATTGCTGAAAAATGAAAAGTATTGCACCTCTTTCTTCAACAGATTTTTATTGATTATGAAATCTTATAATGAACCATTTTTTAATTTGAAAATTAAAGATAATTATATTATACACACAAAAATCAGTGTAAATATGTGCTTACCGATATATAGATGTACTCCCTCCGGTTTCATTTTAATTGACATTTTGGACAATGACACGGACTACAAAATATATCTTTGACCTTATTTTTCTATTATAATATATACAATAAATAAATGCATGTTTACTTTTATTGTAGTGTTTTGAAAGACAAATCTATATATGTTGTTCTAGTTTCTTTAAACTAAATATTTTTAAAGTTATTAATGGTCAAAGTTATAAAAATTTGACCTCGACCTTGTACAAGACGTCAATTATTATGGAACTGGAGGGAGTAATACATATTCAAGTAAACAAAATTAATGCACCTTTTCTTTCGTGAAAGAAACAAAAGGTTACTTTGCATGCAAAGGGCCCACAAGTTTTGTATGGTGTTATTCTATACCTGATCTCTACTATATCTCTTCTCTACTATTATAAAAATTGAAGATGTTTTTATCGGTATTTTGGTATGTCATCCGTGTATAAGTCGCTTTTTAAGTTCGTATGCTTTTGGAAATACATATCCATATTTGAGTCGGTTTCTAAGATCGTTCACTTTGGTAATACAAAAGGAATCATATAAGAAATCTGTTTAAAAAAATTCGCATGCTAACTTGATACGATCGAACTCCTAACTATACCTCATGATTTTCTAAAGAAATATATATCCAAGTGAACTCCCACAGTAAATTTCATCTTAACTAAACTATATAACAATAATAAGATTAAAATAGATTTCACCCATTGCAATGCACCGTTATTTTTTCTGGTCCGTATATATGCAGGTATGGATGCATGTACGTGTGTACATGTGTAATTCGGTGGCTGGCGGCTGCTCGCTTCGTGCGGCTGCAGGAGTGCAGGTTGGTGGCAGTGGGCTGCGCAGGCTCATGGAAAGAACAGATCGTGGAGGATTATATTAGGACACCGAGACCGAGCGGGCACAGGAGCGTGAAGGAGTCCGATGCGTCCGGCTGCAGTTTTGTTTTAAAAATTGTAATTTGATTTGGAATTTGAGGGATAGTGTCCTATTAAGAATAGTAGTTATATTGAGATTTTCGGTATAAATAGAGGGATGCTACGTCTTAAGGGTAGTCCAAGTTTGAGAGATTAATTAGGTAGGGTTTCGTGAGAAACTCGTGAAGGGTGCTGTGGCTGCGCCTTGTGAACAATACTTGAGCAATAAAGATCATATTCAATCATCAAGACATGAACGATTTCTTTTAGTTTCGTAAGTTTTTTACATTTATGTTTTGTTTTAGTTTTAACTTTTGATTGTTCGTTTTGCTATGATTTTGTTCAAGTTAATCCATCCAAAACCTTTCTAACACTGATCAATAGATCAGATCTGAAAATTTTAGGTTTTGTTAAATTCGAATTTACTGAAATTTTAGGTTTTGTTCAGATTTGCTGAAATTACTTTCGAGGGTTTGTTCTCTTAAACCGTTTATTAGTTACGGTGGTGTTATTCCTTGGTTTGTCTAGTTTACTCTGTCAGGTTTACAAGTCGGTCCAATTGTTGATTTAAAAGATTAGGTCGGATAGATCACATTACGTATGTTCTATTTGTTTTTTGGTTGGGGTGTGTTTTGGTCTATCGAGGTTCAAAAAGTAATATATGATTCATCCCCTCTCTGTTCGATCCTACATGATCGCTGCATTACAGTATTATGATAGGAGGGCGAGGTAGGTTGTGCTTGGAACAAATGCTGACTAATTATGTAACAGGGGTCAAACAAGTAGGTGGAAGAAAAAACAAGACTAGGTTTCTTTTGAAGAAACGGACAGACGACGAGGGCCGAAAGATCGCAGCGACGCAGTACCTGTGCAAAAAAAAAAAAAATTGAGGTGTAGATAGCGTCATCATCAGTTGAGCATTTGATCGTAAGCCCCCTTTCTCGCTCAGTCTCTCCAGTATAAATTGAGGACGCCTCTAATCTACCAACCAGTCTAACCTTGCTCCCCTTTACTCTGCCGTTTTAGAAGAACGACAACATAAGCTAGCGGCTGCTCTGCATATACGCCATGGCAAAGGCAATGTGCAGCTTGGGCGCCTGCCTGGCGGTGATGCTGGTCGTCCTCGCGGCGGCGGTCGCCGGCGTCGGCTGCAGCATCGTCTCCTACGACGGCCGGAGCCTCATCCTCGACGGCGAGCGCCGCATCGTCATCTCTGGCTCCATTCACTACCCCAGGAGCACCCCCGAGGTCATTTCTTGGTCATTGCATATATTGTATAATATATATCTATCTATCCATCACGCAATGCGATCTTTGATTGATCGTTGTTATGATTTGGAGATGCTAATTTGGAATTTGAATCTGCGATCTTTGTTCCATCCTTGTGCAGATGTGGCCCGATTTGATCAAGAAGGCCAAGGAAGGCGGCCTCAATGCTATCGAGACATATGTGTTCTGGAATGGCCATGAGCCGCGCCGTCGTGAGGTTAGTTCGTTTGCAGAAAGACGAAGCTTTTTATGCTTCTTTTACTCCTGATGATGGACAATAGATGCAGGACGCTACATGTTAATTTCTAGTTTACAATTCGTTGTTGTTTCAATGTAGATTTGTACTGCTCATCAGTTTCTTAATTTAATGGTCAATTGTGCACAGATTCGTATTACGTTTGCTTAGCTTAATTCCAAACCATATGTTTGGCATGCATTCACAGTCCCAGATGTATTTTGCAGCCTTATAATTAGCATGGTGGTTTGAACTAATACGATTTCCTCTTTCTTATTACCTCAACTCTCGATGATTTATGGTTTTTTCTAACTAGCATGTGTAGATTATACATAGTCGCTCCATCAGGCCATTATGACTTTTTTTTTTGGTTATTGTGAGAAAACATCTGTCGTTTTTTATTTAATATCACAATTCAAAGAAGACGTACTATTCTTAGACCTAAGAAAGGGGATTCTAGGAAAGCCTTCAGTTAATAACATAAAAGTGAATCACCACCTTGCATAATGCATATGCATATACGACATCCGCATATGTATAACCACGTAGGTGTTCTGCTACTATTATATTATTGCTTAAGCCATAATTCTCTCGATCTGCAGTTCAACTTTGAGGGGAACTACGATGTCGTTAGGTTCTTCAAGGAGATCCAAAACGCCGGAATGTACGCTATTCTTCGTATCGGCCCATACATCTGTGGTGAATGGAACTACGGGTACATGCCTATGCTCTATTTGGACACGATCGTGTGCTTGTGAAACTGAAAACTATTTAGCTAGCAAAAATCAAATATTGCTAGTCATTATTTATTCTAATCATTTTTCTGATATGTAGAGGTCTTCCCGTTTGGTTGCGTGATATCCCTGGAATAAAGTTTAGGCTGCATAACAAGCCTTTTGAGGTAATGGACAACAAGAACAAATTTAATTCACAGTGAATAATTCATAGATCTTTACATCAAGAAGAATTATGAGCAATTGTGGTGTTTCCATTAAACAGAATGGAATGGAGGCCTTCACTACACTTATAGTTAAGAAGATGAAGGATGCAAACATGTTCGCGGGGCAAGGAGGCCCAATCATCCTTGCTCAGGTACTGTACTACAATTCAGAATTTTGGGGCCAATATGACCCGATTTTACCATTTGAATCCCTAACTGTGCTCTCTAATGCAAATACCAATGCATGTTTGGATCTTTACATATAGATTGAGAATGAGTATGGTTATACCATGTTGCAACCGGAAAATATCCAGTCTGCGCACGAATACATCCACTGGTGTGCGGACATGGCAAATAAGCAGAATGTTGGGGTCCCATGGATCATGTGCCAGCAAGACAATGATGTGCCACCGAATGTGGTAAGCAAGAGATTCAATTCGATTGCAATTCAAAATATTCTATATTTAAGTTTATTATTGCATTGTTTGGTTGAATGAAATGCATGTCATCATTTTTCTGACAAATTTAGGTCAACACCTGTAATGGATTCTATTGCCATGAGTGGTTTTCAAACAGGACAAGCATCCCTAAAATGTGGACAGAGAACTGGACTGGCTGGTAATATAAAATTTTCTTCCATCATTAATACATGTGTTTTTTTAATTTACAGAATAATTTTCTGCTGTGGTATGGATTAATGTGTATGTTAAATTTGTAATAATATATATGTCATTAGGTACAGAGATTGGGATCAGCCCGAATTTCGTAGGCCTACTGAAGACATTGCTTTTGCAGTTGCGATGTTCTTCCAGATGCGTGGTTCACTACAGAACTACTACATGGTATGCTGCCCTTTAGATTCTTGTTGCTTATTCCCTGATGAATAAAAATTAAACTTTCCATTTCCATTTTATCGCAGTACCATGGTGGTACCAACTTTGGCCGCACTGCAGGAGGCCCATATATTACAACAAGCTATGATTATGATGCTCCCTTGGATGAGTATGGTGGGTCCATTTCACACAAGATATATCTAGCAATTTATTTTATCTATATACGATATGATGAGCACTGCACTAATTTTGCGATCTTGTTCTGATCTTTCAAATCGCCTGCCTTTTGATCACTAGGTAATCTTAGGCAGCCTAAATATGGCCACTTGAAGGAGCTCCACTCTGTGCTCATGTCTATGGAGAAGATTCTTCTCCATGGAGATTACATTGACACCAATTACGGTGATAATGTCACGGTGAGATCCATATCATGCCATTCTTTTGTATTTGAAATGTTATCAAACTTCGTATCACGAGTCTTGAACCTATGCGCCTGCAGGGCCAGTAATGTAACACAACATATTCTCTATATTGTGGAAGTTGAAGTTAAATTTCATCAAGTTTAAAATATGTTTTAATGTTAATGCATGAATGGCTTTAACCCAAAGTAAAAGCATTTATCATATTTATGATAATTCCAAGCTAGAATACCTTATTCTTGGGAAATTCACACAATTAGTCTGATGCCACGACACTATAATTTGGGCATTGCAGGTCACCAAGTACACCTTAAATGCCACCTCTGCTTGTTTCATCAACAACCGGTTTGATGATAGGGATGTCAATGTTACTCTTGATGGAACCACTCACTTCTTGCCTGCTTGGTCTGTTAGCATCTTACCGAATTGCAAGACTGTTGCCTTTAATAGCGCAAAGGTATTTTTTCCTCTTACCGTTGAATAAATTAATTTGATCATTTTAGACCTCATGACCTACAATATAACTGAATTTCTATTGTAAATTATTTGTCAATTCTGACCTATTTTTTTCCTGCTCTAACCTTGGTACCATTAGATCAAGACGCAGACGACTGTGATGGTAAACAAGACAAGCATGGTGGAGCAGCAAACAGAGCACTTCAAATGGTCATGGATGCCAGAGAACTTGAGGCCCTTCATGACCGATGAAAAGGGCAACTTTAGAAAGAATGAGCTTTTGGAGCAGATCGTGACGACAACCGACCAGAGCGATTATTTGTGGTATAGAACAAGGTACTAGCCCAAAAAATAATTCTATCAAAATTTATGTATTGAAAATTTAGTACATTAGTGTAATTTATCAAGTGTGCTGCTGAATTCTAAACGTCGATCAAATTCAGCCTTGAACACAAGGGGGAGGGGAGCTACGTGCTATACGTGAACACAACTGGCCATGAACTCTACGCATTTGTGAATGGAAAGCTTGTCGGTAAGTAATGAGTTAAATTTGGTTCCATGTAAAAAATATGATTTCTAGTTGCAATCTTCTTCTTGAATGGTCCAAACTATTCATTGCACCAACGTTTTTTTCTAAAATTAATGTTGTGCTCGTCAGGTCAACAATATTCTCCCAATGAGAATTTTACCTTCCAACTCAAGTCACCGGTAAAGCTTCATGATGGCAAGAACTATATTTCTCTTCTGAGCGGGACAGTTGGTCTAAGGGTTAATATTCTCTTTTCTTACTAAGCTCATCAGACAATTCGAGCAATACCCTCATCTCTTTCTTTGCAACCGTGTGTGATGAAAATATATTTATTTCATTCTTGTCAAACAGAACTATGGTGGCTCATTTGAGCTGCTTCCTGCTGGAATTGTTGGAGGCCCAGTTAAACTTATTGACAGCAGTGGTTCTGCGATTGATCTCTCCAACAACTCCTGGTCTTACAAGGTGAAGAACATTTTTATCCATTGCTAATTATTTGTCGAGCTGTGCTGGTATTGATGGTCACTTTGATTTTTGATTTTCTAGGCTGGTTTGGCTGGTGAGTACAGGAAGATCTATCTTGACAAGCCAGGCAACAAATGGCGCAGCCATAACAGCACCATTCCTATCAACAGGCCCTTCACCTGGTACAAGGTACTATTAATAATCAATATGCACATTATTTACTAATATGGTGTGTACTATGCTATTGGGTATAGCTAATACTCTGTTTTTGATATATATATATTTTTGTAGACCACGTTCCAAGCCCCTGCCGGCGAAGACTCTGTGGTGGTGGACCTCCATGGGCTAAACAAGGGTGTGGCATGGGTGAATGGAAACAGCCTCGGACGCTACTGGCCATCGTACGTTGCAGCAGACATGCCCGGCTGCCACCACTGCGACTACCGTGGCGTGTTCAAGGCAGAGGTTGAAGCCCAAAAGTGCCTCACGGGTTGCGGAGAACCCTCGCAACAGCTCTACCATGTGCCACGCTCCTTCCTCAACAAAGGGGAGCCCAACACACTCATCCTCTTCGAGGAAGCCGGCGGCGACCCGTCGGAGGTGGCGGTCCGCACCGTGGTGGAGGGTTCCGTGTGTGCGTCTGCCGAGGTTGGTGACACTGTCACGCTGTCGTGTGGCGCGCATGGCAGGACCATTTCGAGTGTTGATGTGGCTAGCTTCGGTGTGGCACGTGGCCGGTGCGGATCCTACGACGGCGGGTGCGAGTCGAAGGTGGCTTATGACGCATTTGCGGCCGCGTGCGTTGGGAAGGAGTCGTGCACGGTGCTTGTCACCGATGCGTTTGCCAATGCTGGTTGTGTCTCTGGTGTGCTCACTGTCCAGGCCACTTGCTGAGAAAAATCAGTGAATTGACCACGTCCTGGATAGTTGCTCAATAGGTTGGTTTGTTTAGGATAATAAGCTATAGGTTAACATTCTTTTTGGTATCAGATCGTGGAAGACTTTTTTCCTTCATTTTACTTTTTATGTTGATTTTATGAGATACCGCACTGTCGATTCAATCAATTAAACTTTATAAAATCCGCAATGAAAGGCTTTGTCCATCTTCACGTTATAGAAACAATTTATTAACCTGATTAAGCAGTATTGTCACCAGGAAAATCAGATTAAGTTGCACAGTGATCAATTGAAAATTTTATTTTGTCTAATCGTGTTCAGATATTTTCCGTTCCTTTTCTATTGATAATGCATGACTTATCTATCTATCTATCTATCTACCTATTGTATACTAAAAGTCCATTAAACTTCCTACCAACGCTCTTAAATAGCCACGTGGGACTCCTATAAACACTCCTATGCCGCCACGTGGCACTATCTAATCTCACCGTCGATTATTGGTGGACTGCTATTTTATACCATTAGTTTAGATCTATATGTATGTTGATTTTTATTTAAATTGGTGGGCCCATTACTTTATAATAATCATTAGGAATGTGTATATAATACCTTCCCTGTACAAAAGTGAGAATACGTACCGTCGACAAAACAAAAAATACCGGTACGTATATGATTCAGAAAAAAAGAAAAGCTTCCGTTCGATTCGCCGGAATAAAAAAATTGCCCGTGTCAAATTGAGATAAAGGCAAAAAAAAGAAAAAAAATTAGTACAACGTATCATCGGAAGAAAAAAAATATAAATATAATTTTCTACCATATAAAATAAAGTGAAAATCCATATGTATTGCTATCTATCTATCTATTACCCCTTCATTCCAAATTGATCTACATATATGTTTTTTGAGGTTATTCCTAAATGATCTATATATATTTGTGTTCATTCGTTAACTCTATTCATTATTGTGCATTGGAGTAAATAGACATTGACGCATGTATCCATGCATCACAAGTATTTATAACCCACATGCAATATCTTGATTTGCTATTGGCTAGGAAATAGTGGGGATGGTGCATGCAGAGAGTTTGTTGCAAAAGTAAATATAGTATGATAGAGTTATTAGCTTTTCTTGGTCTTGGTGTACCTATGAAATATATGTAGATCAATTTGGAATGGAGGGAGTATATACTAAATAAAATCCATTAAATTTCCTACAAACACTTCCAAACCGTCACATGGCACCCTAATAAAATAGAGAAATCTAACCATCCACATTCATTTAAATCGGTGGACTTCATTAGATCTATCTTAGAATACCAAAACCTCCCACGTCCCCATATCCGTGTACCACGCACGTATCAATTTGTAGACTCCCTGTTCCTTTCTCTTTTTTATCCTTATCACAACTAAAATTAAAATTATCTTTATGAAAAATAATCTCATAAATAGGCGTTAAAGTCTATTAAACCTCTTATAAATATTTCTAAATCGTTGTATGACATTCTTAAATTATAAAAACATCCATCCATTGGCTTCCTCTTAAATATGAACACATTATTTTATATTGTTATTGATATATTTTCTAATAAAAAAACATCTCAAACCATATTCCCTTCCTCTCCATCCCTATACGCGTTTTGCTAAGCTGCCACTTGTCTCAGTTAAATTAGAAAAAAAACTAATAAATCTGAGAAAAAAAAATAACATCCAACCATCAGTTTTGACTTAAACATCAACACATTATATTTTAGGTCATCAGATCAATCAATTTTTTTCTACAAAAAAGAAACATCCCAACCCTCCCTCCATCCCCATTCCCGTGTGGTGTGCGGCCTTACTTTTCTCTGTTTTTCTATCTCTATGATAATTAAAATTATTTTTATGGGCAAAGAAAAGACCACAAGTGAATCTCCATCTATTAGGTCTAGCTAGTTATTATTTTTTTAAGTGAAAACAATAACTTAATGCCCATATTGAATGTATTTAAGTGCTAACAAAAAATTACATTATGGACCCATATCCATACTGAATCCTCTACTTACTAATGGTAAAATTTACTACAAGACATAAAAAAAAGTGTAATTAACTAAGAGATACTGCAAGAACGTATATCTGCTATGGGACACTGCAAAAAACTGGTCATTAGCTGTTGGATACCCGCGACATTACTTTGTTATATCCAATGGAAAGGGGGAGAGAAACAATTGCGAAAGTATGATTTTGCCCCTTCCTGCCAAGTGTGGCTCATATATAGCTTAGACGTCGTGGTAGTCACGACATGGGAGGTGGAGGGTATGGCATCGTGGCGTGGCGCGGCCACGAGACTGACAGCAATAGCTTGTGCTTTGCGGCGCCCTGCTCGACATGAATCAGGAGGTGGTCCACGTTGTGCTAACCCCAAGCGCGGTGTGTGGCGGAGCATCGACACCGACATGGCCCTCGCACTGCAGCGGCGACAAGTGCAAGAACGACATGGAGCCACGGGCCCATGCGCATGGGCCCTTCTCGAAACCCCCTCCCCCCACTAGACAGCCACCTCACTGTTGGCGGGTGCGGTTGCAGTGTCGGAGGTGTTTGCGAGCCGAACTTGGTAGGCAAGGGGCAAAATCATACTTTCGTTATTGTTTCTCTCTCCATTTTCTTTGGATATTATAAAATAATGTCACGGGTGTCCAGCAACTAAATACCAGTTTTTTTGTGTCCCATAACTGATACGCGTTCTTACGGTGTCCCTGGTTAAGTACATGTTTTTTAGATGTCCCTAGCAAATTTTACCCTAAATAAAATGAAATACTAAAATTTCTCACTAAAAACCAAAATATCCCAGCCGATTTTTTTATAAAACTGGTAGACCCATTATTTATATCTGTTAGACATCTAATGACTTTCTAACAACTTAATTAATTTTTTTCTCAGCGTGTATACAGAAGCTATTTACCCATACGTTTTGATATTGATGCTTTTATCAATAAATGATCATTTTTGGAGATAAATAAATAATCTTAAGATGATCGTAGCGTCTAAATTATATATATGATCTATGAAGTCATGTGGCCAGTTGAACAACATACTGATCATACCAAGCATGTTGGTTGCACCAAGGAATCTTAAGAGTGAAACAACCTTATGTCGCCTCAGCAATATATAAGTCAATTCCATATAGGAATTTAAAGACCGTATCCATTTACTTTTTGGTAAAACTTGCTACAGTAATTTGTGACATATAGCATGGAACAATCAACAAACGTGTGATTCTTACCTGACGCTCCAGTTCAGTGGTAATTTGCTAAGAAAATACTATGGCCTCTATATTAAATTTTCTTACATAATTGGAGCGAGATAATTTAGAATGGATGCCTTCACGCCATGCCAGGTTGTAGGATCAACCCACTTATATTGAGATCAAAGCATTTCAAAGATGCTTCATATAGTGGATTTGTCCAAAAAATGAAGATAAAATGAAATGAAAATTAAACAAAATTTATCTAATTTTAAAATTCTTTTTGTTAGATTTATAACCCATTCTAGATAGAAATATTCAAACATTTTAGCAGGACTAAAAAATGAAAACATTTAAAATTTCAAATAAAATCTAACAAAAGAATTGGACATTCATAGGAAACACATCAATTGTTTCGATACAAAATTTTCTCATGAATTAAAAACAACACGGTTTGAAGTAATTTTAGTTCACAATTTATATGTTGCAAGTAACCAACGTTCAAAGCATGTTAAATAAGCTCAATTTTAGTTTTTGATAAAGTAAAATAATATTTTGGATAGAAAACCATTTATACATGGACATTCGTAATAAAATTTTACGCACATACCCGCGCATATGCGCGGGCTACCTTCCTAGTTTAAACTTAAAATGCCTAAACAATTTTTTATATGATTGGTCCCTGGGATGCTAAAACTACAATTAGAACCTCGAATAAAGAATACTACAGTTAGAGTTTCAGCTTTCACTAAATTTAACAATATAATTATAAAATTATAAGTAGTTTTTTTTTCATAGAAACCAACATGAATTTAAACAGATCATTTGAGATAGGGAAACACACACATGGGAGGAAATTTGAGACTGGAAAACACGTGGACATGAGTGGTGGAATCTAGTTGTTGGTCTGATTCCCCCAATCATCAAACATCTCATCCATGGGCTGTGGGCAAGAAACGCAAGACCAACACGCAAATGAAACTATCTAGTAAACACATAGTAGACAAGAAGATGTAGAATATTTTTATCATGTTGGTCACAAAGGGGGTAGTGATCGGGTGCTGAAGACCTTATCGTGCCGGAGATACACTGTCCAACAATGGTAGTGTGCAACCAACCTATAAAGAAAAAATATTCTTGAAATAGACTTAGTAGTGTATTGTCTTAAATTTGAGAGCCACCAAGAGTGCATGATGTAAAATCAAAAGTGTTTTTGATTATTATTCTGTGATGAACAATTGAGCATTGAAGATTATTGGTTTTGTTATTTGGAATTTATTCACGAAGTGGTTTTGGAGATGATTGGATTTACAGGTGAATCACAGGTTCATTATTTCATGTGGACCGGTCAGACCGGGCCGGTGCGGTCGGTCAGACCGGCGTGTATTGCGCGGTCAGATCAGCTAGCCCACGGTCTGACCGGCCGACGCTGAGTCGATTTCGGTTTCGGGTTGTTTGTTTGGATATCCGAGTTTATTTCATGATTATGACTTCTAGATGAATACTATACATATGTAATACTGTTGTTTGCTAATAATGAGTCAAGTTGGAGATAGATTGGTCTTGGAATATTGTTTCTTTGTTTATTTCATGTGTAGGTGACTCGATGCCTCGGGAGAGTATTTGCGGTAATGGACCAGGAGTAAGCTTGGGGATAAGACGACGTCCGTGGTGGTCAGAGATCATGCGGGATACTTAAGCTAGAGTTGATGCACGTGGTTGATGGAGATTCCATATGGCATACGATGGAGGTATTGTGTGCGTATGGGATGCGGAGTCGAATTTGGAAGGAGTCCAAATTTGGTACGATTGGTTATGTAAAGTTTGTTTCTTGTACTAGAGGGTTTCCTAAGGTGTTTAGGACTCTTAGTATGAGTTTGGTTCGTGGCTTTAGGCTGCATACCTCATGTATAAATAGAGGGGGAGCGTGAGGCTTCCCGGTATCGCTTTTGAGAGCAATTGAGTTGCTAGTTTAGTTAGGGTTTTGA